AATCCAGAAAATATTTCGGGATTCCCGAAATTTTGGTTTGGGATTGGTCTTCAAATTCCCGTCCCAAAAGATTTCGGTTTGGGATTCGAGATACTACTTTCGGTTCGGTATCCCATACCGAACCACCCCTACATTACACAATGATCCATATTAGAGGTGCAATTGAGGTTGGGTCAACCTGAATCTGTCTATATCTAACTCAATTTCTGTCACGTTCCAGACCTGGGGTCGATAATAAAAACTCAAACTCGAATCCAAAACGTGGGTTAAAAGCTCAATAAATAAAAGGAAATTAGAATGGGTTGGAAAATAAATTCCTCTTATAAAAATAATTCATGATTCTTAAACAAATCAAGAATTCTTTACAACCTACAATAAATAGATGAATATACTTTCTCTACTCCAATTTAATCCGATCTCATCCTGCCTACCCTCTTGAATGTCTAGTTCCTAAACCTGCATAACAATAGAGGGATGAGCTTTAATAGCTCAATGGGGACATAACCTTATCACAGTAAATTGACAATATTAAGTTAAGTGTCATGAAATCATATAGCCAAATATCAAATCATTATTGACAATAATGCATGAATGCAATGCAACCTCTTCAACTACCCCTGTTAATTTATATAATAAAACATGCAGACTTGCACATCCCATACCATGCATTTTACCCTTGCAGAGGTGGTTCAAATGTTCTATTATAGAAACTGACCCCCATATGATATCCCAAGTTCATAAACCCCTTTTGCTAGTTATCTTATCTATTTCATTGATCTCTAGCCCAAATCACCCACATCGACAATTCTCGTCGATCCTATTATAATGTGCACACTGGGCTCGCCTGGAACTGGTTTCACAATGAATAGATTCAACTACACAAAAGATCCTTTCCAACTACCCTCATTTCCATACTTCCAATCTAAATACTAAAATTCCAACCACATCAACATGAATGATGCACATATAATGTCATTTTATCTTTCACATATTTCACAGTATATTCTCAACGAATAGCATTCCAGCAATAATTCCATAACCAATAACAAGTAAACACTTAACGGAAGCAATTAGCCAATTAATATTCAATCACATTAATCAACCAAAAATATCAAGAATATTATCGTACTTCACGAAATTTAATATAATCAATTTCCGTAAAGGTTTGCTGTATTTCCCCTACCTGGATTCTAAAGCTAAAACGAAGAATCATATCACTACCGCAATAGCTAGACTCCACGTACTTAAATAAGCTCCTTGATCGTCATCTATTTCTCCACTCTCTTTTATTTTCTAATCTCTCTCTCTCTATATATAAATATATATAATGTCTACATGAACTCTTGTTGCATGCACGACATAGTCCTTATATTTTCCATTTCATTCTGTATCTATCCCTGCCTACATTGCATGCTGTTGATTAACACCACAAGCCATCTCTCAGTTTGCTGCTGTTTAATCATTTCCCTTATATAAAAACCTTCTACCCTATAATCCGATCTCTATCAAATACCCATGGTAACTTTCTCCCTCTAGTTTCAGTTCTGAAGCTCTCTATATATAACTAAACCTTTTGCCTGCTCCATGCAAATTCTAAAAGTTCCCCTTCCAAAACCAAACGGTAACTACCCTATTTATAGTAAAGGAAGTCGGCTAAGAGAGTCCTCTGATTGGTTCAAATGGGCGGCCCATGATAGCTTTGGCTCCAATTGGTTAACCATAGTCCTTGTATCGACAGCTCATGCTAAAATTTCATAAGTCATACACACCTGTCCATTGTATGCAATCTCAATGCGACCTCCAGCTTTAATCTCATGTATCTACAAAGCTATATGAAAACATTGTCCTCCAGCTCAAGTTTGTAGACTTCCACGTGTACCAATACGGCTAACTACAAACACCAAACTAAGTGCTCAGCAAACAAAAGCTAGAAAATATGTAATAAAATAAATATATAAACATGTAGTTCAACCAATAAAAGTATATACATATAAATATATATACATACACACATATATATATACACACACACGTTACCTTCAAATAATCGTATAAATATATTTTCTAAAAGTACGGGTTCTTAAAATTTCAAACCCAAACTAAAAAGAAGTAAATACTCGTCCAAATCCAATTCAATCTCAAACCAGTTATTTATTGGAGTTGAATTGAGTTGTTGTGTCATTCATCCGTATCAATCCAAAGAGCATTGGGCAAAAACGAGTGGATTTGGACCAACCCATGTCCATGAACGAATGGATAAATAACAATCCATAACCCATCAAACTCATTTATCAGCTTACTGCGTCTACCCATATCCAACTTACTTGATAGTGGTATCAGGTGCAACCCACTAAATTAATGGGTGCCCAGATTTTAATTTTCTTTACTTTCCAATACTTGCCTAACACTACTACAATATTAACTTTAGGTGGCGGATATTAGAAAAATCTTGTCAGATTTTACTTTTCTTTACTTTCCAATACTCGCCTAATTAACTGCACCACCTTCCACATTGAGCATAGATCTAGCAATTTTATGCAAGACACGTCACGTTAGCCTGACATGACACGATGCGGAAAAAAAAACAAGTTTAGAGTCGAGGTTTAACGTGTCGGGTCTTTTATCGGGTCAACTCGTTAAACATTTGTTAAAATAACGGGTCAGTTCAAGTTTACCTGCATGTAACCTATTTTACCTTGTTAAACTAAAGTCATAAAACTCTCAGCCTATCCCTCAACTTATGTGCCATGTAAATAGTGTTTAATTAAAAGCTTATTTTTAGATACGCTATTGGAACTCTATTTTAATCTCACTTTGCTCCTTGTAACTCAAAAGTCATCACTTTACTCTTTGAAACTCAAAGTTCGCTTTACTTTGTCCCCTAGAACTCGATTTTGATCTAATTTTGCCTCATAAAACTTGAAAGTCGTCTCTATAAAACTTAAAATTCATTCTGCATTGCCTTAGATTTGTTAATTTCTTATGTTGTTTTGATTTGGGTGCACCAGTCTAATCAATTTTTTTTTCTTTTCATCTCTTCAGTTTTCTTTAAACTTAATATTCTCTTATTGTTAAATGTTAACGCATAATGAAGATTTATTGCACATGTCGCATATTCTTATTGGGTATTAGGTCCCATATATGTTTCAGGAGGCTGCCTATAAGTTTCAGGGAGAGGAGAGAGTCCACAAGTCAAAGTGGAACAAATTTTGAGTTTTATAGAGTAAAGTCATGACTTTTGAGTTACAGAGTACAAAGAGAGATCAAAATAGAGTTCTAAGGGATATAGGTAAAAATAAACCTTAATTAAATGATTAGTTGTATTGTTGAATAAAATGAATGATGAGTTTACAATTAATTTATTAATTCAGCTTGTACGTTTCTACCAAAAAAGAAATAGATTTGCCAGCCTATACGTTTGTACTAAAAAGAAAAAAAAAATACCAGGTCAAATTTTAGCCTCCAATTTTGTAAATGTCAACCCAATTACCCTCAAACTTAAAAACGATAGACCTAAAATCCAAACTCTAGGCTTCGTCCTTTTCTTTTGTAGTGAATGAGCAGCTTCTCCACAAACAAAGACCCTAAATTCCAAACTCTATTTTATAAAATTATGAAAATTTACAGGCTCTGATGGATTTTAATTCATTTGTGAAGAAAATTGTTCTCTGAATATATCAACCTATTAGTTATGACCATTAATAAAAGGCAATACAAATAACGGAAATTATATAGCTTCGTTTTGATCTTAGTAAAAACTAAAAAGAATAAAGCATCTCTCATCCATTTAGATGAAATCGTCATGAAACGAGTCAAAGAACTCCAATCAGGAAGTTAATTTAACATAAAAAAAAATATTTATACAAGAAAGGCTCTTTTAATTTCTGTTGAATTTGAAAAAAAAAAAAGGTCAATATCTTTCCATCATCCCTTCGGGAATGTGAGCCGGCGTTGGTGTTGTTAATGTTCTGGAAATATTTACATGTGATAAAACTTTGCTGGTGTGAAATACACTTTTCGGCAATCTAAATTAATTTTTAGGGCATTTAAGTCTATTTAATATTTTTTGTTATAATTGATAGTTTTTATAAAAATTGACATTTATGAGAGTAGATAGTAAATTTTGGCTATATATGATAATTTTTCGTTAAGATGTTAGAGCATCTCTAAAGGAGTTGTCAAAAAGTTTACATCAGTAATAACGGTAAAATAGAACATTATTAGTGTTTTCGAACTGACATGACAATTATGTGGCATGAAATGGAAAGGAGAGGAAGTTGTTGTCAAGTTTGACAGCAGCTTCAAATCTATTTTTAGTAATTAATAAATGTTTTTCATAATTTTTATACTTATCTTTTGTTTTAAAATACTAAACTAGCCTCTCCGCGTGCAAGAGGCATTTTTGCATCACGAGAGCTACGGGTTCTAAAAATGTATTGTTTTAGATATTCTTGTATTTTTTAAGTGATTATTTTATAAATTATGGGTGTGTGTCCATTTTATAGATATGGGCACTAAATAGAACAGAGAAGGCAAGTGTTGTTGTATACAACCAATTCAAGAAGAATTTCAATTATAGCTGTAGTATTCACTTTAGAGATGAGAAAAGAATTGAAAGCACTCATACACCATATTTTCTTTCAACCTAAAAATAGAATTAACCCTTCACATGTTGGGTTACGAAAACCACATAAGTAGTAAAGTTTAGAATATCAATTACAATTTAATATGGACCAAATCTCAATAAAAATAAAAGTAAATCAAACAAGAAAAAAAAGCACATACCATGCCTTTGCATGTACATTTGCTTATGCACATGAAAAAGAAAAAGAAAAGAAAAAAAAAATACACATGAATAAAATTAGACACTATGAAAATGTTATCTCATAGATCGCATTTTAACAATAATTAGAAACTATGTCATAAGAAAAATTAGAATGCTCAAAAGAAAATATGCTTGCAAAAATTAAAAGATTAAGCAATTAACTGGAGAATTACTCTTAGAACTGAAAAATTACTACAAAAGGTTTGAAAGTTACACGGTTAGATACTAAAAAGGAGAGAGATGAGATGGAGTGGGAAGGCAAAATTAAGATCGGCAATGGTTAACAACCTACTCCCTTTAATCTTTGCATTGTATTCCTTGTTGGATTGTTCCAATATTGGGCAAGACAGGGGGCACTGGTTCTGCCATAATCTCAACAACACAATCCTATCCATCAGAGCAGTTTTACAATGCTTCCATGGTTCTCATGCTCCACGATTTTTTCATTCAATCCTATCCATCAGATCAAGACTCGCAACTACACAATCTGTTCAACCAAAATTTAATCCAAATCTACTCAGCTCTATTAATCCCAAAACAAACAAAAGCAAATATAAGGTTAGATTTTGTTTGCATATAAAACTAAAAGTACCATTCAACATCCACGTTATGAAGCCAAGAATGGGTTTGAGTCATACCATCCACAAACACAATCATCCAAAGCATTGGCGGAACATGCACCAGGTAACAATGAACTTGACTTTGATTTTGACAAATTCAAACTACAAGGAACAATTTTAGTTATTAAACAATCTACAAAGATATGTGATCACATACAATACCACTCACTCTATCACATCTGTAATTGAAAAATCACTCCATCACAAATAGTAGATATTATACTATGATACAGTACCACAAATTGGTACTATCACTTGCATTAAACCAATTTGTCCACACAATTATAGTTCTTCTTCTTTGCTAGCTTACCACATAATAATGTAATTGTAAAAGTTGCAGACCAATCACAAACTCAGATGGCTGCTGAAGCTTTTTGTTATTTTCCAAACCCATTTACCTACCTAGCTAATTCACAATTTCCGTTATACGGACTTCTGCCACAGCTTTATGCATTATAGTTAGAAAATACAGAACTCAATATATGTGAGATCAAGTTCATTTGAAATTATGAAAAAGGAAATCAATTAAAACATGAACTATGATTTTTCGATTACAGATGAGTCATGAGTCTTCTTGAAGCATAAGTCCAAGCCATGATGCCCTCTTTGACATATGCCCAAACCTTCACACATTGAAACTTTCAGTTTATAAACAACAAATAATGCAAAGTATCAAAAAAAAAAAAAAAAAAAAAAAAAAAAAGAATTTAAGAGCATAACTGTGATGCTGTCAAATTGATCAAGGAAAGTTGAATGATTTTGATGATGAAATCTAATGAAAGCAGAAAAAGAAAGAGTAATTTCTTACTACAATTACACAATGTTAAACAAAAGAGAGTCATTCTCACCCAAAATCAACTACCTATATTTGCAGAGAAAAATGAAGTCAATACCAAAATGGAAGGAGGAAACCAACTGCACCCGCACAATAAGCAGCAAGATAAAAGATGGAGTTGATAGGGTTTGTGGTTTCAGAGTACAATGTCTACTATTTTTCTTGACATGTATCCTACACTTTTCCATTCCACCTGAACTATTGTATCAATTTAATGCCGCCACAACATTAATACTTGTTTCCATAGCTGCAAGGGAGTGTATGAATGAGTATAGTATGTAGTGTGTTTGAATGATTATAGTATGCAGTGTGTTTGAATGAGCATAGTGTAGTAATTAAAATGTACAGACACTGGCAAAAAGGAAGAAAAAAAATATTCATATCTAATTAGAGTGAATTGAGAAGCTCAATCAAATGTAAAACCCCCTTACTTTGCATTTTGTTGCCATTTTGAGCTGTTTAAATTTGCTTTTGTTACCAAAATCTAAACAATAGAAAGTTCAAACCATATTACCCATACCTCCATGTCTCTATCCAGCATTAATTTGTTGATGCCTCATATCCAATGTAAAATGCATCACTTGTAGCTTCTCCATTGTATTACCTGATAAGAGATGATGCAGCTTCAAATAACTTTTATTAGATATTCTGTACAAAGGAGAAAGGGGACAAATAGATCAAACTACTAAGCTAAATTTTACAAAGACGATTAGCAGGCACCAAAATTATTTTTTACACAATGTTATGTTAACTTGCATCATACAAGTTAATATAACATAAAGTCTACATGTTAACTTGCATCATATAAAGACGATTAGCAGGCACCATAAGCACGTTCTCGTCTTTCTTCATAAATCTGCAACTGCAAGAAACAAAGACATACCTATCCACTATCTGTGAACGTTAAACTGTTTGATCCAGTGAAAGAAAGAAAAAAAAAAGGTCGGTGATTGGAACCACCACTAATTTCGAAAGCGGAGTGCTCCAACTGCATGGACGATTCGGAGAACCGAAACAACGGTCCAAAGCAAACCTGGAAGTCAAGAATTAATCCAAATCAAACAGATATCAGTACCATGTAAATGATCTTCCAAATCAAACAGATATCCATGGATTCACATACCTTTGCACAAGTTCGATTTATGGGAGGGGCAATGATGGGTGTGCTTCTCTCATGATCGCATGTAGTCGAGTTTCCGAGACACACACCCGACGTAAGTTTTGTACCCATCTATGATAGCAGAATGGCAGTTTTTCTGTCCATGTAAGCGCATCGTGTTGTTGTTAACGCTCAAACGTGGAGCAAATTTAGGGACGTGCGCTTTCTCAAACCAAAAAGCTCTGGTTTTTTTACCCCTTGCATGCAGAGCACAAAACCCTGAACGGCAAAAACAAAGAAGGAGATCTGTGACTCTTTTTTTCAATCCTTTTCTGTTTGGAACGAGAAACCACACTAATTTGCTGAAAACGAAAATTGATTTCCTTCCAATTATTCATCTCTAAATATTAGTGTAGTGTGGGTAGTTACTGTTGAACCTCCCACTGAACTTGGTCCAAATCGTAAGGATCCTACAGAGAAAACTATCAGCTGGTTCGCGTTTATTCTTCGTTCATCTTTTTCAACACGTATTTACTTTTTGCTTTGATTTTTTTTTCTTGAAATACAGTTTTTTTTATTCAGTTATTTTTTTTTTTTACTAGTTTGTCCTCATTTTTTCCTTTTTATTGGATTTCAATAGTGAAGAAAACAAAGCGACATTCTTGGCATTTCTGAATGCTTCACTAAACTAGCATTCTTCCTTTATCTCTATTAATTAATAAAAATTTTTTTGTCAACCAAAGGAGAATGAAAAGACAAATTAGTCTTCTATCACACAAAAAAAAAAAAAAAAAAGATGGGCAATAATGTAATTTCACAAATCCAAATTTTACTGTTTTTATTGAATCCTCACCTACAAGCAATGTATTAAAAGCGTGAGGCGTGGGTGAGGCGTCCAAGGCGAAGCCCAGCCTACGAGGCGAAGCCCAGCCTAGGCGTGAGGCGAAGCCTTACAGGATTTAATCTTTTTTTATATATATGTTTTATATATTATACATATAATTGTATAAAAAATAATACTATGTAAAATAAACATCCATTCTCAATTTTTCATTCAAATCCATAGTCATTCAAAAGATAATATCATTTAAATTCATCATTCAAAGGTAATATCACCCAAATTCATCATTCAAAAGGTAATACAAACAAAGAAAACAATCATTCATCCAAATCATCTTCATATAAATCAAAATACAAACAAAGATATAAATCATTCATCTAAATCCTCTTCATCTAAATAAAAGGCAACATCATCCTCTTCATTGCCAACTCTAGATGAACTTGTCGGGTATCTCATCATTTCATCAAAAGAATCTTCCGAATCATATTCCACATTTCTTCTAGTTCTACTTGAGGATTCTTCATTACCCCGTTTTCTTTTGTATGTAATAGGACCCTGAGGTTGAGTAGGCTCGCGAGGAGAAGGAGGAGGAGTAGGCTCACGAGGAGGAGGAGGAGGAGAAGACTCTCTAGGCTCTCGAATGTATGAGCCACCTTCATAAATCGGGGTTGGCACATTCCTTACAGCCTCAACATTATACAATAACTCATCCTCAAGCCATGTAGGATCTTCCGGAAGAACGGGATCTTCTATCTCTGTTATCCATTCATCATCGGAGGCAATTTCTTTCACAACAATAGGATCATACTTCTCCATCCTTTTCTTACTTCTTTGTTGTAAAGCCAAATTGTACTTGACATAGGCTAAAGCATTAAGCCTTTTGTGTTCAAGCCTATTCCTTCTTTTTGTATGAATCTACAGATAAATCAATTCTATTATTCAAGTCTAAATATTTTAAGCAAAAATGACACTTAAGATACTAATAATATATTTACTTGCCATTGAAAATGTGCTCCAATTCCTCTCACATCCCGATGCACTACAAGTAAGGCTTAGAACTCGGATAGCAAATTTCATTAACTCGGGTGTTTTATGCCCAAAGCGCTCCCACCAAGCCGCTAAAAAAATAATATTAATAAGGTAAGTAATTTAAAGGTTAATGATAAAAGGGTATTAACAATTAACTAATTAAATCTTAATTGGTGTTCGCTTTTTCCTAGTTTGCATAGCCATAGAATCCGCAAATGGACCACGCTTATTAGTAAATAAATCCAATTAAACATCGGCCTCTTCACGTTCTTTCCCTTTCCCAAGCATCCTATCCATGCAAGCAAACAACCCATTTCGCACTTCATCAGTATCTGAGAAATTATCCTTATATCGAAATTGTGGGTTTAAGTAATAGCTCGCCGCATGTAGTGGTTGATGAAGTTGATCGTCCCATCTACGATCTATCTTTCTCCAAATAGGCATATATTTTTTCTCCACTTTGTTAAGATTGCTTGCAATTTTCTCTTTTGCAGCATCCATCAACTCATATATAAAACCCATGGGGGGTCTCTCCTCCGAATCAACCTCTCTCAAAGCACAAACAAGAGGAAGAACGCCCTTAATGCAAAAGGAAACTCGACCCCAAAACTCACGATCATATAACACATGATGCTTAGCCAACTTTGCTTCACGGGATTTTGCATAGGTACTTTCCAACCATTCTTGAGAGGTAAACAAAGCAACAAGATTTTCCTTTTGCTTTTGTAAGCTTTGTAGTGTAAGGAAAGAAGTGGCAAACCTAGTGACCGCCGGACGAAGAATTTCCGAATTGTTAGTGTACTTTCTCATCAAAGCTAGTACCCATTGATGCCCATATAGATACTTTGAAATACACCTAGCACGTTTGAGTGTGTCATCAAACCATGCCATCTTAGAAATATCTTCTAGCATCAAATCAATGCAATGAGCCGTACATGGAGTCCACCACACCTTCTCTTTCCTCTCCATAAGTTTTGCCCCGACATTCTTGTAGTTCGAAGCATTGTCAGATATAACTTGAACCACATTCTCCTTCCCAATTTCTTGAATAACGTCATCCAAATTGCCATACAATAAATCTCCATTCTTAATAGAGGCCGATGCATCAACCGATTTCAAGAACCAAGTACCTTGAGGGCTATTGACAAGAAAGTTGATTAAACATCTACTTTTGCCATCCGACCATCCATCCGACATAATAGTGCATCCATATCTCTTCCAAGCCTTTTGATGTTCTTTCATCATACTTTGTACATCATCAACTTCTTCTTTAAGCATCTAAGTTCTATATTCTTGGCTTGTAGGAGCATCAAAGCCGGGACCAAAATTGGACACCAATTTCATTGCATTAACATAATATTCATTGTTTGCCGCATTGAATGGAATGGCACTAGTGTAGAACCATCGGGCAAGTGTTCGGGATGCTTGTCTTCTTTCCTCTTTTTTGAAAGGTGTATTCAACGTGGTTTGACGAGCTTCCGATGTAACATACCTATCAAGTGGTCCCCTTGACCTAGGTGGTAGAAAAGAACCGGTTTGTTGTGAATGTGTGGCACTCGCACTCCCACTCCCACTACTTACATATGGTGTCCTTGTTGTGCCCATGGCGACACTTTCACTTTCTTCTCCACCACCACGACACAACTCATGACTAGCTTTCCTCTTTTCTTTAGTTTCCATAACATTAGCAAAACATTCTTCCTTCACATTGGGTGGGACTTTTTTACAACTTATCATTCCTCCCGAACTTACACCACCCAAGTGATGTTTGAATCTAGAAATTGAACCCGTGCATTTGTGGTTACAAAAAACACAATAGAAGTGCTTAGTGACAGAATCCAAATCTTTTGTCCATTGCCAAGCAAAATCTTTCTTAGAAGAAGAAGCCATATTCTTCAATACCCTAAACAATAAACAATAGATGCATGCATACAATTAATGAACCAACAATTTATTAATTAATTTATATACCAACAATTTCCAACAATTTCTAACAATTTATTAATTAATTTATAAATTAATCCTTTAGTGCCAATTTCTAACAATTTCTAACAATTAACCCTTAATTAATTTCTAACAATTTCTAACAATTAATAAATTTCTAACAATTTATTAATTAATTTATAAATGAATCCTTTAATTAATTTATTAACAATTAACCCTTTAGTGCCAATTTCTAACAATTTCTAACAATTTATCTAAGTGCCAATTTATGGCACACGGACACAATTTATGGCAGCCGGCAGAAGCATTAAGTTTATGGTATAAGACTATAAGTGCAAAACAATTTGGCAGCCACACAGACAAATAAAATCGTGGGCTGTCTGTCCCCTGTTTTCTACTCTGCTTCTTCCTCTCTCTCCCTCTCTCTCTCTGTCTCTTTCTCGCAGAGCACCTTCCCCAGAAAATGCAAAACCAGCAAACTAAATCCCCTGAAAACTATTAACCCCTCTATAGCAAAAGTTGCAAAACCTTCCCCAGAAAATAAATCCCTAATTTCAGAAACCCTAACCTTTGGGATCTTGCTGACGGCGCTGGGGCTGGGCTGATGGTGCTGAGGTGATAGCGGCGGGGTGATGGCGGCGTGGTGACTGGACCAGTGTTCTGAGCCTCTGGGCTTCTGGCGCGCGGGAGAAGAAGAACCAACAAGGCAGAAGGCAAAAGGTAGAGGCAGAAAAATGGGTTGAATTCGAAGGTATGGTGGGTGAAGACTAAAAATCCTTACCCAAACAACGTCGTTTTGGGTTTGGATGGTTTTTAAAAAAAAAAAAAAAAAAAAAAAAAAAAAACGTCCAGACTCCTTGAGGCGTGCCTTCGCCGCCTCGGCGTCTCCGGCGAAGCATTTCACCTACTCCAGCAAAACTGAGGCGTTTGCCTCTTCGCCCAGCCTCAAGGGCGCCCTAAGCGCCCCCCCAAGGCGAGTTCTTTAAAACATTGCCTACAAGTGATGTTAAAATACCTCTAATATTTAAAAAAATTAATAATAATAATAAAAAAAATAAAAAACAAAAACCTCCCACTCCGTCCACATTCTCTCTCTCCTTCTCATTTTCTAAAAAAATGTGTTTATACACACAAAGTGTGTATGTAAATGCTAGTATATATAGATTACAACTATAATATATATATATATATATATAAAAGATAAATAATATTTTAAATTTGTCATATCAATTCAAATTTAATTTCATGTTTTAAAATTTGACATCTTTATTTTTTTTCAATCAAAATTTTGACTTTAGAAATTGTCTTATGTGCTTCCCACAATGAGAGGTTAGTGTAACTAAGGTTGGGGTTAGCATACTATTCCAATTAGGAAGAGGATACAACCTTATCCAGGAAAACCTTATCCCCGAGTTCACGCAGAAAACGCACTCCAGCAGGAGCAGCCCCAGCCAGATCTTGCCGATCGATTCCGAGGTTGGTAGTGACCAATTATTCCCTCGAGTTATTCGTTACATTTGCCCTGTTGTCAATTATCATAAAAAGTAAGTTTATATGGTGTGCAGATTTGAGCGAGAAAGTTTCAAAACGTGAATTTTATTAAGATGGTATATCTTAATGAATTAATACTGCTAACACATTCTTTGAGTGCAGTCAGCACTCAGCAGTGAAATTTTCTCTTCTATATGTTTGGGTGCGGGACTTTCAAGTTTCAAATTACTAGGGATTTAGGCAAAGTAAGCCAGAAATGGATTGCAAAAAGTTCGTAGAAATCTGGGAGGGAGGTATGTTTGAGACATTGGGACTTGAGATTGGAAGGCAGATAGATAGATACTATAGTATGCTTTGATATCACTCAATCATTTTTTTTCTGAAGCAACCAACCAACCATCCTATTGCATTCAGAATTCCTCACTAATAAGTATTCACTAGACAAAGGACATGGGCAGAGACTTGCTTCGTTGTTATATGGGAGAGATCATAATTAGTTTGATCTGAATGTAATGCCGTTTAGTGATTTTTTGTGCTCATTACTCTTTTACTGATACTCACTCAGATTCCAGCAGTATGGGTACCCGTGCCCGAACTGGTGGTGATCGCCTGAGAACGGTCTGGACCCCTGAAATGGATCGATATTTCATTGATCTCATGTTAGAGCAAGTTGGCAGAGGAAATAAATTTGATGATCATTTATTTAGCAAGCGTGCCTGGAAGCATATGACATCCTTGTTCAATACAAAATTCAACTTCCCCTATGAAAAAGATGTTCTGAAAAATCGGCACAAAACACTAAGGAATTTGTACAAGGCTGTAAAAATCCTCCTTCATCAGAGGGGATTCAGTTGGGATGAAACGCGACAAATGGTGACTGCTGATAATAATGCCTGGGATGGATATATTAAGGTATACTTAAATCACCTGACCTTTCTCTTTTCTTTTCCAAATTTCCCTCTCTTAACCATGTCAAGAGACCTTACAGATTATGGTTTCAGGTACACCCAGATGCACGGTCATTCAGAATAAAAACCATCCCTTATTACCGTGATTTGTGTTTGATATATGGCGACGCAGCATTCGAAGAGAAAGGTAATCATTGTGTCCTTGATACAAATGTTAAAAATATGTAACGATTAGGAGCAATTGTTTTGCCAGGAGTTTTTAATTCTGCTTCTTAACCTGTTCATGCCAGGTGATAATGTTCCCGAGGAGTCATCACATTCAAGCGAGACTGGTAAAACAGCAGCCACACAGCTGACGAACATTAATCAGGACACAGCAGAGGCTCTTCGTGATATCATTGTTGGTGAGGATTATGGAGTCACTATCTCAGAAAAATGTTTTGATGTTAGGCAGCACGCTATTACAAGTGTTCCTGAAATCACTGCTAGTAATCGCTCCAGAACTTACTGGCAGCCGCCCATGGACTGTTATTTCATTGACCTTTTGCAAGAACAGGTGCAGAAAGGCAGCAGGGTTGATGGTGTGTTTCGTAAACAAGCTTGGAAGGAGATGATTGCATTATTCAACACTAAGTTTGGCTTTAATTATGATATGGATGTTCTTAAAAATCGGCACAAAACTCTGAAAAGGCAATATAATGTTATAAAGAATCTACTTGAATTAGATGGCTTTAGTTGGGATGATAAGCGCCATATGGTGACAGCTGATGATTATGTTTGGCAGGATTATATTAAGGTAATTATCTATTCAAATACCGCATACTTATTCAATTGAAGACTTTTATTATTTATGTATTGCACATAATATTCCCATTGAGTTCCTCCCGGTTAATCATGATGATTATCTTTGTTTCATTATTCAGAGTCAGAAGAAAATATTGTTATCGTAACATGCAGGAACATACTGATGCACGGCAGTTCATGACCCGACCTGTCCCATATTATAAAGATTTATGCATGATATGTGATCCAAGTCTTGATGACAGAGACTGCTATTCAGGTCAAGATGTAGAGCAACAAAATCAAGTTGAGGGCGCCAGATTCTGTGGAGCGTTAACTAGTCTTCAGTCTGCATCTACATCAGTTTCCGCCGAGGATGATGTTGTTGAGGTGCAGGAGTCGAGCCTTATGTCCCATAAGAAAAGGCGTCAACTAGAAAACTCCTCAAATCAGGCTCATCCAAAAAGATCCCGAGAAGCAGATGGTGGCATGGCTAGTGCTCTTCGTGAGATGGCATCTGCTGTTTCATCGCTGTCAGATAAGACGAGAAATGATGGGAACATGAACTCTGGCTCAATAGAAAGTGTGATTGAAGCAATACAAGCATTACCAGACATGGACGAAGACCTTGTGTTAGATGCTTGTGATTTGCTAGAGGATGAAAACAAGGCAAAAACATTTATGGCATTGGATGTTAAATTACGAAAGAAGTGGTTAACGAGGAAGCTTCGGCCGCAGTTGGCAACGTAGTATAATTTAGGCCCCAGAAACATACAAGTGCGAGGGAAGGTAACATCAACTCTCTATGTGCTCTGAATCTGATTCTGATGGTAGTTTTAGTTTATTGGGTTGTGACTGAAGTATCATGTATGGAGGAGCTTAATATGGGGAATTTGAAAGAGTATATATGGCAGCAAGTGATTAGGTTACAGTGGCCTTTCTCAACTGATATGTACTAAAGCAATTAGATATAAGCTGCAGAGTACAATAAGTTTGAAGCTGACGGCTGATTTGAGTCGGATAGACTAATCGGTATGCATTTTACCCTATATGTATATATGCTTCAAGCTGTTTGGATTTTCATCCATCCATGATCCAGCCATACATTAGTGAGTAATTTAGCACTTGGAGAATGTAAGTCAATCACACGTCTTCGATCGACGTAATAGAATATCCTTGTTTCTGTCATGCAGCTTCCTTAGCCTTAAACGATACACATGTTAATTCATTATATTTGTACCAATACAACAACGAACAAGGTTTTATCCATGATTAAGATGAAACTCTTGCAAAGTCTCCAGCTCTTTTCACTTCAACTTCTTTTTCTGGTGAACTTTTTACTTCACTTTGAATTGTGCGATATAGGAGTCAAAAGTGGTAAAAATTTGTAGTTTAGGGATACCACATTATCTATTATCACATCATGCGCTAACAGATATACATTATTGCCCATGTCATAGTACCCGGAAAATAGAATTATACTAGCGTACAATTTTTCTCCACAATTGAAAAATGCGTCTTTTAATTTGGGACCAGCCAACGCTACCAAATGTGAAGAAAAACATCTTTAAAAAAAAATTTACTTATTTCGTGTGACTATTTTGTGTTTGAAGTTTAATATTGGTGTTCCTACCATCCTAAAAGTTTATTGGTTTTTAACATTTTATACATCAAGTTTTTTTCATTCAATCTCGTACCTAAAATCGTAATTTTAGAACATTTTCATATATTCATTAAGCTGTCTGTTAAAATAGCTATTAACCATATGACGTGATGCGCACGTGGACAATGACTCAACGTCTCGTGTCAATGGTACGTGAATATTAAAAAAAATAAAAAAACTATATAAAAAAAATTCTTTTCTCTTCCCCTCCCTCTTCGACTCTCCTGATCCCTCCCACTTCTCCCTCTTCACCTCCCTGATCGTCATCCGCCCTCTCCTCCACCCTCTTCACCTCCCCTCCCTTCTCTCTCCCCAGATCAACTTGCACCTAACCCCACCATCCACCGCCGCACCCAAAGCTTCTGCTAATATCAGTTAAGTTCAACAGTTATAAATTTTCACCTTTCGCGGTTAACAGCCACTATTTCGCTCTCAAGGTTGAACAAAAAATCACCGATTATCCAAGACTGCACACTTTGCATTCTCCAACTAGGGTTAGTTTTAGGTTTTAATCAAATTCCACTACGCTTCTCGCCTGAATCAATATCTACTGCAAATTAATTGCACTGGCTCGTAACGAAGAGAAAACGCAGTCGGTGCTCAATCGATTCATTGCCCTCAAAGCCGAAGAAAAGAAGAAGCCAAGAGCGACGCCCATACCTCGCCTCCGAGTCTCGCGACCTCGCTGAGGCCTCTAGATGGCGGCAGCAAATCATAGAGGGAAATCGGCCGAAAGGTCGCCGAGATCCAGAACGAAGCCCTCGGGGAGCATCAGACATGCGACCTCAACGACAAGATCAATAAGCTGATTCGAGCGAAGGTCCATTGGGAGTGGCAGATTGTGGAGCTCGGAGGCCCAAATTATGCCAAAAACGCCTCTAAGATGACGGACCTCGACAATAATATTGGCGATGTTCCGAACTCCAGCGGTCGCAACCCCGGGTTGATAACAATGACGGTACTAATCAAGAGAGATTTTAGAGAGAGAAACAAATGAAGTGTCTTGTATATATTTCTAGAGAGAGAATGTTGATTACATCAGAAAATGATCCAGCTCACTATTTATAAAAGAAAGGAGTCTTAACAATTACGTAACCTCCTAACTAACTCACATCCAATGGTCAATGTTTCTCTAACCGGTCTTCGATCTAATGGTCTACAACAACTCTTGTCACTCGGCATTTACATGGTTAATATCCCCCCTCAATCTCAACTTGGGTAACCAAGTTTGAGATTGCAACAATGATGAAGAAACAAGGGACCATGTAAGCCCTTAGTCAAAATATTAGCTATTTGGTCTTTAGTGGAAATATATTCCACCTGCAAATCCCCTTTCTGCACCCTTTCTCGAACAAAATGGAAATCCGTGTCCAAATATTTGATCCGAGTATGAAAGACAGGGTTAGAGCACAGTGCCAATGTATAGATTATCACAATGTAACAGAGGAGGATGAGGTAAAAACACCTACAAGTCTTTCAAAATCAATCGGACCCAAGCCATATCTGCAGCTGCATTAGCTAAGGCTTTGTACTTAGCCTCTGGAACTTCAAGATACCCCCCTTGCTTCTTAGATTGCCAAGATATAGGATTAAGACCTAAGAACACAACATAACCCGTGGTAGATCTCCTTGTGTTGATATCAGAGGCCCAATCTGCATCACTAAAAGCTGTCAAGTGTAACTGTGAACTGGCAGAATAGGTAAGACCACAAGCTGCAGTGCCCTGAAGATATCGTAGGATCCTTTTAACTAGGGAGAAATCAACATCTGTTGGGGTAGCCATAAACTGACAAGCATAATTCACAGCATATGCAATGTCCGGACGAGTAAATGTAAGATATTGAAGTGCTCCTACCAAACTTCGAAACATAGTTGGCGCTGGCAATGGTGTACCCTCATCTTTGAGTAGTTGAGTGTGAGGCTTGCAGGGAGTAGAACAAGGTTTACAAGACTCAAGACCAGCCTTTTTCAACAAATCCTGAATATACTTGGACTGAGATATAAACAGATCACCATTTGCTTGATATGTAATCTGCAATCCCAAAAAAAATGTAAGCTGTCCCATGTCCTTCATTTCAAAAACTTCTCCTAAAGCATCAATCACTTGTTGTACCAGGAAGGAACTAGAGCCAGTAATGATAATATCATCGACATAGAGTAGAAGGATCACTACATCAGCACCTTGTGTTTTGACAAAAAGACTAGTATCAGAATCTAAGACAACAAATCCCAATGTAGGCAAATAGGTTGTGAATTTAGAATTCCAGGCCCTAGGTGCCTGTTTTAAACCATATAGGGACTTGACTAATTTGCACACATAATTAGGATGCTCAGAATCTTGGAAACCTTGGGGTTGCTTCATAAACACCTCTTCTTGTAAATCCCCGTGAAGAAAATCATTCTTCACATCTAATTTTCTAAGAGGCCATTTTTGAGATGCAGCAAGGGCGAGCACAATTCGAACTGTACCACAGGACTAAATGTATCTGCATAATCCAACCCTTGTTCTTGACTGAACCCTTGAGCAACAAGCCGTGCTTTGTATCTGGAAATTACACCATGTTGATCCCTCTTGACATTGTAGACCCACTTGCTACCAATTATATTCCTGTTCAAAGGTTGAGGAACAAGAATCCATGTACCTTGTCTTTGTAAAGCTGTGAATTCATCCACCATTGCTTCTCTCCATTTTGCACTTATAACAGCAGCTTTATATGATGAAGGTTCATCACTTTCTGTAATAGTGAGCAAGGCAGTATATCCACAAAATGCAAAATCACTAGACAAAGAAGAAAAAGGAGAATGAGCAGAATAAGCACTATAATCCTTCCGTTGAATTGCACCTGACTTTAGTCTAGTTTGCATAGGATGCTCACTTGGAGATACTGGATGAGATATAGCATGTACTAAACTTGAATCATTATTTGGGTAAAAAGAAGAACCTACCTCAATTGACTCTGGGTTATGGACAAGCAACAAAGAGTTGAGAGTTGGGGCAGAGAGTAGAGTAGTGTGGGGTGAGGAACCTTGGAGCTGAGAAGGAACTTGAACCTTTGTGGATTCTGGAGAACTCTGTGAAGGAACTCGTATTTCTGAACATAAGGAACGATCACAGGATGATATCTAACATTCGGTGCACCAGTTGAAGAACTACTGTGATAAAACGGAAATGTCTGCTCATCATGAACCACATGTCTGGAGATATACAACCTCCTCGTAGCTCTATGGTAACAAAGCACACCCTTTTAGCCTAAGGCATATCCCACAAATACACATTGATTTGTTCTTGCATCTAATTTGAATGAGGTATAGGGTCTAAGGTAAGGATACACGGCTGTGCAAAAAATTTTCAGAGAATGCAACATAGGTTGAACTTTGAACAATTGGAAAAATGGAGACTGCATACTTAAAAGATTTACATGGCATCCAATTGATAAGAAAAACTGCATGTGCACAGGCATGATACCAAAAGTTATGCGGAAGATTAGCTGAGGTAAGTAAGGTAATGGCAGTTTCTAACATATGCATGTGTTTTCTTTCAGCAGTACCATTCTGTTGGGGAGTGTAAGGACATGATACCAAGTGCAATATACCTGTTGAATTAAGAAACTTCTTAAAAGCCAAACTCATATATTCTCCACCACCATCAGATAGGAAAATTTTAACAACTGCTTGAAACTGAGTTCGAATGAATGCATAGAAAGACTGAAAAACTTCCAGAACTTGAGATTTGTATATTAAAGGGAATATCCATGTGAATTTAGTACAATCATCAATAAAACTCACATAGTATCTATAACCCTCTATTGATACAATTGAAGCTGGTCCCCATACATCACTGCTGATCCTCTCAAATGGTTTTACAGACCCCAAAGTTCTAGTTTCAAACACTTGTCTAGACATTTTGCCTTTAGGACAAAAACTGCAAACATGCTTATTTATATCACTCTTATAGGTAATCTGAGAATGGGATAACATATGATGTAGAACTTCATTGGTAGGATGACCTAACTGATGATGCCACAAAGAAGCCTTTATTAACTGCCCAAGAAATGCTTTTGGTGTAGACTGCCTCAACTGATTGTACTGGAAGAAGAGCTGCTTTGGTATGTGATATAATCCCCCACTACTCTTTCCTCTCATGAGTATTGTCTTTGTTGCCTTGTCCGGCACCCAAAACCCAAATTCATCAAGAATTACATAGCAATTACTATCCTTGCATAAAGTATAGACAGAAATGAGACTTGTAGTTAACTCAAGAACATGCAAAACAGTATAGAGATTTAAGGGTTTAGACAATGTGTGAATAGAAGAAGAACCAGTATTCTTCACTGGAAGACATTCACCACTGCCAACTGTGATTTTCTGATCACCATTAAATGGTGCAATCATATTCAAGTCCTCAAGGTTGCCGGTCATGTGATGTGTTGCCCCAGTATCCATGATCCAACCTTGATTATTGTTGAAGTCTACACCCTAGAAGGAATAATTGCTTCGATGGTAACAGTTAAGAGCAATATGTCCTCGCTTTCCACAGATCTGGCACTCAGGGATTGGACCATTAGAAGATGGTAACTGTTCATTTCTGTAGTAGCAATTGAGTGCTGGCATTCAGGAATAATGTTGGATTTGATACCAGTGTTTCCATTCCAAGAAGTCCAGGTAGAATTGCTCCTGTTATTGTTTGAGGAACCAGAGAAACTACCATTGCATCTGTTGTTAAAACCCCCAGAATTACCAGCATTAAACCTTGGTTTTGTGTAAAACCGAGAGCCATTGAAACCAGTGTGGTTTCTGTGAGACTGTCTTACATTGGTATAATTCTGACTTCCATTGTGATAGTTACCACCTTGTCTCTGTGATTGGCCCACAAAACCTGCTCCATTATAATTCTGAGAAGTAGAACTCTCTCCTTGATAAAACTGACGATTAGCTCTTGAATTAGAGTTTTTTCCTTGATAAAACTGTCTACTAGCCCCTGTGGCAGATGATTCACCTTGAGAAAACATTCCTGTCATAGGAAACTGCATAGCAGATTGATACTCCTCAGCAGTTCTTTCGGCACTCAGTAGTTGTGCACGAAACTCTTTCAATGTTATTGGTGTTTCTCGTGCCACAATCACAGTACGGATCATGTTATATTTAGAAGGCAAACCAGCTAAAGCTGCAACAATCAAATCATTCTCCGAAATACTTTCTCCTGCAGCCAATAACTGATCCTTCAAATGCTTAAGTCTGAGCAAATACTTTTCAATGGAATCAGCTCATTTCTTGATTGTATGCAGCTCCATCTTAAGATGGTTAATTTGAGCTCGTGAGACGGTAGCATATCGATCAGTAAGTTGTGTCCATGTCTCATGGGCAGTCTTACTCCCTACAACGTATTCAATAGCTTCATCGCCGAGAGTAGCAATAAGAAGACTTAGTAAAGCCTTATCTGTCTTTATCCATTCATGATAAGCAGCCGTGATTTCCTTTGTCACTCCACTCTCCACAGAGACAACATACTTAGGCGGACAGACATTTGTGCCATCAAAGTATTCGAAAAGATCATACCCTTCCAAGACGGACCGAAATTGAAATGACCACTTAGCAAAATTATCATCTTGTAGGCGAATTGTAAGCATTCCCAGAAATCCATCAATCTTGAGTGATGAAGTTGTCATTGTTACAAGAAATATGTAACTTTATGTAAGACCATACCAATACTCCAACACAGAATGCAATTCTGACAAAGCAAAACACTGTAAACAACTCCAAAGAACGACTTCGTGTCAATGCAGACAAGAATTTTGCAACAGATCAGAGAGCTTTGTGCACGTAGACCAAATCAGGGAGCTTCTTGCCCTAATTGAACAAAATTTGGTGATTTTCTTGAACAATCAATGAGCTTCGTGCTAGGAATCGGTTTTCAGGAAATCAAACAGTCATCAAACTAAGCTTCATACTTTAACAAATCAACCACAAGCTACAGACATAGGGCTTCGTGCCTCAAAAAAAAAATTGCGAGATTCACCAAATTTTCAACAATTACTCAACACAAACAGCTTCGTGCTTCAGATTACGCATCAAATTCTCACTCAATTAGAGCAATAAAAAGGAATGACCTGAAATGCTATAATCCTGCTCAATCGGAAAGTCCACCGCCATTGTTGAGATGCTTCAACAATCACCGTCCTCACACCAGCACAGATACTCTTTCAGGTATCTCCTGAACAGCAACCGGAATCACAACAATCACGAGGGCCAAACACTCCAAACACTGACTCCAATTCGCCGACTTGAAATCACCGACTCCAATCACCGACTCGAAATTTCTGACTCAGAGATCCAAATTCTGCACAAATCAACACAGATTATCACAGAGACTCAGGCCCGATGAAAAACCTAAGCTCTTAATACCATGATAACAATGACGGTACAAATCAAGAGAGATTTTAGAGAGAGAAACAAATGAAGAGTCTTGTATATATTTCTGGAGACAGAATGTTGATTACATCAGAAAGCGATCCAGCTCACTATTTATACAAGGAAGGAGTCTTAACAATTAAGTAACCTCCTAACTAACTCACATCCAATGGTCAATATTTCTCTAACCAATCTTCGATCTAATGGTCTACAACAACTCTTGTCACTCGGCATTACATGGTTAATACGGGTATCGATGCTTTGGGTACGATGATGGATGGTGGGGGTTAGGTGGGGGTTAGGCCTGGCAAACGGGTTGTGTTTATCGTGTTCGTGTCGTTTTCGTGTCACACCCGTTATCTTAACGGGTCCTTAACAGGTCGTGTCACTTTACCCAACGGGTAAAGTGACCCGACCCGTTATGACCCATTATGACCCGTTAAGAAAAAAATATATTTTTTTAAAATTTGCACATATCACACATTGCCACATAAATATTACTTCAAAACATTAAAACATTTCTCGTTCAAGTACTATATCTACACTCGAAAATAAAAGCCTAATAAAAAAAATAATACATACACTACTAATATATTACAAATATTAAATGTGCAAGGATAAAGAGTTTTTGTTTTTAAGATTGTAAGTCTTTCTCAAAAGTTTACACCTCTATTTACAAAATCTTCAATTTACATCGATCATAATGAAATTGTATTCAATTTACACCTACATCTATATAATTATTATAGTTTTTACTTTTTAGGGATATAAAATTATTAAATTAATGTATATAATTGTTAATATTACAGTTGATTCATACTTTTATTAAGTATATAAATTATAACATAAGATTTTGTGATATCCACATCCACTAGTGTAAATATTTTAAATTGAAGATCAAATTCATTCTTTGTATTCATATAGGGTTAAGGAGTGTAGCTGTAAAAATTCATC